CATTAACTCAACAATTTCCACCTCACTCTCACTCAAATTTACTTTTCAAACAGCACCATATCTCCTCCAACTTATAATTCCACCACTCCACAGTCCACACATATTCATCCCTCCCATTGAACTTTTACCCCCTCCGTATTTTGCCAAATAGAGGGTAAAGAAACAGGGCACCTTCAATTCTGTTTCCCCAGCAACGACTAGTCAATTCTGACCCTCGATAGCAATTAGCAAACAAAGAAGTGGTGGGTTCTACTTCTATATTGCTTTGGTTGAACAGCAACCAGATTAATAATATATATTATCATCATGTTCATGAAGATACATAAACTGTAATGCATTAGAAAACGAAAGAAGACAAAAAGGGAACAAAGGAAAAGTTGAGAAGTCGTTTTCTAATTAAGCTGGATAGCATTATTGTTGGGGTTACGAGGTTGGTTGGGTTGATGATTAATTCTCAGTCAAACTTGCAATCATAGGATTTGGTGGTGCCATTTGCATCGAGGTTGATTCATTTCCTTGTCAGCATGCTTCATTAAGCACCGCAATCTTCACCAAATCTAACCCCACCTTACAAATTTTCAACATTCTCAAGTGAAATTGAACACTTTGTTTTCACTACGAGTGAATTTTGTTGGAGTTAGGATAAATGTTGTCTACCATTATAATAAGTTTAAAGTACGTGAAATGACTTACAGAGAAAATAAATATGTGATCTGCGAGGTGGACAGTATCAAGAGTGATGCCTGTATTTATATCATGTTAAATGTTAACATTAGGCATGCATTTTTATCATAATTCAACCAATATTGAAGTACACTTATTTTCATAATTATGACATATTATAGTTGGTCTTGACAAAGTTATTAAATAATAGTTATTCAACGAAGAAAAAAAAATTAATAGTTGGTCTCGAAAAAGATTGGACTGATACATTCAAGGTGCTAGTGCTCTCCAATTTCTCATAAGAATTTTAAATTCTAGATTAGGTTTAGGCCTTGAAAACGATTGGACTCATCTGTTCAAGGCGTTGTTCAAGATGCTAGCGCTCTCTTATTTCTTTCACTAGAATTTCGAAATTATTTTTTCCTTATCGGATTTAAATATTATTGTTTTTATTTAAATAGCGTAAAATGAAAGGGGCGAAAGAAAGAAAATACAAAGGAGATGAAACCTAATCATTTTGGCGATTCATGCTGATTGTAGTCAAAATGAGGAGTGGGACTTTGCTTTATTTAACATCTAACAAGATTCTCGATGATGCAAATTACAAGTGGTGCAAGATTTGTGGGGCATGATCAACAGAAACATTCTCATCTTAATTATTTCTTCAAACATATATAATCAACTTAGGCACTAGAGAATCTAGGCTACCCTATGAAAGGTATGCTGGACTTTCCGATAACTTACTTTTTTAGTGCTCTAATCATCTTTATTTCTTCATTGTTCCTCCCTCACTTTATTAGGATGATATTTGTTTAGTGGCGCACGCCAATATTAATCCCAATGATTAGCATTCAAATCAACTGATGATCACTACTCCATTGTGGACTTATCACTTGCGGCCTGCGGGACTCAGGGGATGGTGTTCTCTGTTTCGTTGCCTATAACACAAAGTGGGTTCCAAAAGTGGGAAATCTGTGCGGAAAGCAATGAGCTTCCTTTTTTACCCTAATCAAGAGCTAAGACTTCAATAAATAGCAAGGTTGTCAACCCGCGGGTTGACCCGGACCCGGTCGAGCTAGTGGGTCAAGGGTTAATGGGTCAACCGTTTTAGCCCGGTTTGGCCCGGAAATATAGAAAGAGTCATTATATTGTACTTATTCTCATAAATTATATCAAATCTTATCTAACATATGAGTTATAACATATATAATTACACCAAAATAACATATTGTACTTAGATCCAACATATAGTGAAAATTCACACACACTTATATAACATAAATATTCAAATGTTCACCTTAGTATTCCAAAGATTGAGTTAGGCGAAAAGAAAAATTGGAAAATAGGCGCATTTCGCAAACTAAAGAAAAAAATGACACAATTTGACCTCCAACCCGGTACCTTATAGCGGTCGGCCCGGCGGGTGCGTATGGCCCGTTTTTCTCACCGGGTCAGGGTCAAATTGGGTCGACCCGTGGGTCAACCCGCGGGTTGACAACCTTGATAAATAGAAAGCAAAGCGAAAACATGGGAGAATAATAGTGCTTCTCTTACGAGAAAGCACCACGAAGTTAAGGATAAGGACCTAAGAAAATACATCACATTCTCCCCGAAATTAGTCTTTCTAAGGAGCGTTTTACTCCAATATGATGATTGTAACACGTTACAATCTCAAGAAGGTTGATATGAAAATGAGAATTTGGATTCATGATACAGGAAGAGAGTTGCCCTTCGAGAAGATGATATGCCATTGAAAGTTACGACTAGAATGAATTCACGGAGGTCTCTCCATAGACGAGATCAATCAGCATGACATCCAAAAATGTTAGAGGTGGTGCTATTCTAGAGAAGATTGAGCTTTCTTGGAGGTTCCAAGTTATGATGTTTAGTTCGAGGGTACGAAGAACAAGAGTGCATCATATTTGGTCACTGGTCACATATGATATGTCCACAAAAGTAAAGAGTCTAAAGCCTACCAATTTATTGTGCTATTAAGCCAACATAAACTCTATCTCAAACACCTATGTGGAGTTGTGGACTCTTTTTTGGTACTCCAACAACCTCTTACGACCAATCAACGTGATAAACAAGAGAACTCTGTTTATTTTTAGGTATAGATGCCCTCTACAATGAAATAGCTACCTGTTTGTTCACTTCTATAACAGAAGTTGTTTCCTTTTCATGAATAAGGGAAGTTACCCTTACGGCACTATCCCACTTGGCCACTACTCACTAATGTGATATAAGAAGAGTATAGAACTAATGAATTAGGCTGATGATCCATTCGATACAATTGCGTAAAAAGCGACCTTAAATCAAAACCGGAAGCAAAAGAAACAGCCTCTCATCTCGTCGGCACTCATCACCCACGTTCATCCACCTTCAATACACCTTCCAAAACGCCAATCCCATTTGTTTTAATATGATTTAACATTTCATCATTCCCCCATTAAATAAATTAATTAAAACGCTCAAAATTAGAAGATATATTGTTTGTGATATAAAGTGTTAGTTGTACTAAGCTAATAAATTGATACGAGATTGAAGTTTACATAGACATCATACATCGTAGGTTTATTAATAGGGATAGCAAAACTTCGAAGTTCATACATAAATTCTCTTATTCAAAAGTTCTGAGTAACATTAACATCTCATACCATACTTATCAAACAACCACTTGAATAAATACTCCATCAACATGAGTACATGACAAATATACTGTTTAGATTTTAGACAGCTCAAACAAACATCAACCTCTCACAACGAAAATAATTTCCAAAAACTCCACATGTCAATTCACTACGAAAGTGATTGGGTTTTCATCGGGTGTCCTTTTTATTCTTTAGCTCATTTTGAAAACATAATTGTTGATGTCAATAAAAAAAGAAATAGAACGAAATATCAGTAGGTGGACGTGTATACTCTTCGTCTTCGAGAGTACAAAGTGTTCCATATTTTACATTTTTTGCTCATTTTCTAAGTAGCGAACAAAAAAAAAATTGCATGTTTAAGAAACCCATCATATTGTACGGTTGGACTGGAAATACTGTATTGCTAAAAGAATATTAAGTAATTTTAGCAGTAGAAAATAGTTGAACAACAATTAAATTATTATTATAGTACAAAATATTACATCACAAACTTTTTCCATATAATATTCAGTGAGACTTCACAATCCTTGAAATTTGCGAGAGTAAAAAAAAGAGAAAATTGATAATAGAAAAGTAGACCCGTCTTTATACGAACAACAATGGCGGTTTAGTACGCGACCAAAGCACACAACTGATTATTAGAGCCGCAGAGTGACTCAGCAAGGAAACCAGATCCATCAATGGAGCTAGCTAGCTCACTCAAATTAAATATTATATGCTATTATTATTACAAAAACATTTAACAGCCCACCTCCCCAAATGCTTCAGTGGAATCTCTCTCTCTCTCACTCTCCCTCTCTGTTCTGGCAAACGGCTCGCAGAAAAGGAAAGAGAGATTTGCAGTTTTGCAATTTGCATTTGCATGTGAGGATCCCAGGAGGTAATGGACAACACACAATAATCCAAATCCAGACCTGAACTCAACTTAAATTGTGTAAGCCAGCCAGCTAATAATTGCCATGGCGGAACAACAGGAAACTCAAAAAAGGAAAAAACAGAAAGGAACGAAGCCGATCCGCCCGATCGATGATGACCAACCATTTCCCGAGAAAAAATCTGGGAGGGCGGCAATTGAATATGTAACTAATTTGACTCGCGAAATTAATCTCTCAATAATAACTGATTAACAGTTGCGATTTGGATTAATTAACAGCTGAGGAGAACCCGGCGAGGCTCCGATCACCTTCCCCAGTTTAGTTTCGGGTGATCGAAGCAGAGACCGAGACACAAAAAAACAAAACTGAGAACCGAAACACAAAACCCCCAAACTTGATTGGGAACTCTATTTACATGTGTCATATTATATATGCCCAAATTTATTTATAAAAATGGATTGATCTTCTTCTTCTTGATCTTCCTCCTCTGGCTTCTGACTCCACTGTTTGGATGCCGAGAACGGTAGTTGGATTACTGGAATCGATCGACCGTTTCTCTCGAACAAAATTGCCACCGGGGTAACATTGAGATCCCCAAAAAACCAGAGGAGAGAGATGAGCGTGGTATTGATTGATTTGAAGCTGTAGGCCACAAGCACCGTCCGCCATCAATTGAGTCTTACTGTAGATTAAACACAGATCTCCGATCTCGATGGATTAATTGCAGCCGATCGAATCTCCTAGACCGCGACGGCTACTCTAATTGATTTCGTTTCTTTCCTTTACTCCTCCCGAATCTGGATTTATTTTTTCAAGAATCGCTGTAATCGCGCCAGCAGATGAGCATGGTGACGCATCGCCGCATGATGTAGAACCTGGCGCGCTGCTCCTTAACCAGCCTGGCGCATTTCCTCGTGAACGAACACCTCCGGTGCGACGACGACGACGACCTCTTCATCAGCGGCGTAGCGACGGCGGCGGTTGAAGCGCCGGAACAGGAGCGGGTGCTGCGCGACGAGGACTCTTTCTTGGAGAGCTTCCACTTCTCGTCGAAGTAGAACTGCGGTGGCGCGCTTGTGGAGTGACTCAGCGTGCCGGCTGCTGCCGCCATTGATTTTTGGGATCACGGATTCGAAGATCTCCGCGGAAAGGAAGAGAAGAGGTAGGTGTAAAAGAAAACAGAGTGGGATCTGTTTATATGAGAGAGAAAACTGAGTCAGAGAGCGAGTGGAGTGAGTTGAGTGAAGGATTGAATTGAATTGAATTGAATTGAAGACGAGGGGCAGGGGAGTGGTGGGTTAGGGTTTTCTATTTATAATAAGTTAAAATCATAGAGGGAGGAGAGAGAGTGGTGGTGGTAACAGACGGGCGGGTGTGGCAGTGGGTATCGCCTGGGCCTTCTATGCCTCGGTAGGCCCACCAACTTTGGACCGAGGCAGAAGGGAAAACTAAATTAATGAATATAAAATTATAAAATAGGGGGATTTTTATTCTTTAAATAGAGGTGGGTTCCCGATGAACACGTCATCGGTCATGGGAGAGAGGGAGCGTAGGGTGGGGTGGGAATTTAATGGAGAGAAATCTGAGTGATGAGGCAGTTAAATTGTTAAAAAAAATAATTGGAGGTAAAAAAAGAGAGGGTGAAAAATAATTGGGTATCGCCTGACGAAGCTGAAAAAAACATTGGTTGAGGTGAAAGTAAAGGTAAAAAGAGGGAAATCACATCTACCTCTAGTAGCTCCTGCCTATGAATTATCTTATTAGTAGATTTCTGTCTTTCATTCTAATTGGTAGATCGATGGTTTTGACGTGGAAATTTCCACAAGTGATTTTGGGTAGATTTGTTTTTTTGGAGTCAGAAAAAGGCCACCCGGCCCATCTACGCAATAAATAAAAGCCAAATGAGAAAACTTGAAGCCCCATTTCAAATTTCCTGCATCCAGAGTGAAAGTAGGAAGGACATTATGGTCTTCACAATTATTTTTTTTTTATTCATTAAAAAAGACACTTACTAGGATTCGAACCATGACCACTTTTAAGAAAAGCAAAGATCATAACCAATCACACTAAGTACATTTATTGTATCTTTTGAAATTAAAAACATATAATCGCAGAGAGAAAAAACTCTTCCCCCATTTCAAATTCCCTACTCCAGGAGCGTTTGTAGGAAGGGTAGAATAGGGAGTGTCCATTTTTTTTCTTTTTCCTCTGTGGAACGGGCCAACTTACCGTACACATACGGATTAAACGGGTCCAGGAGTATCAATTTTTTTCTTTAAGTCCTTTTATTTCTCCGTGGTGGTAAACTATATATGAAAAGGCAAAAACAATACTCTTTTTATTGCTAAAAAGAAAAAAAAAATTAAAAATAAACTAATGCATGAATTCAAATGGGCTAACCGCTAACCATAAAATAAAAGAGTTGAATGGGTCTGGCCTACACGGGATTTGCCCATCAAGTAAAACAAATGAACATCATGGGTTTGTCATTCTAAAACAAGCTATTTTCTCTAGCATAATATATATTATGCTGTTATTTTATATCTTAGTGGCTAAAATATAATGTATTTTAAAGTTATTCAACTGTTCAACCTCGACCAACCCAATTAGTCCAATTTTTATCATTTCAAATATATATTATGTAATTATTTGATATCATAATGATTAAGTTATAGTGTATATTATAGGGAATCATTTGGTATTTGTTAGTAAAAAACTAAACAAAAAGATTTATTTGGTTATTTTTAACATTAAAACGATCCTAAACCTTTTCAGTTTCCTTTCGAATTCTATAGTTTTATTCCCGAATCAGTGATGTGCAAATGGCGAATTGAACTGATTCAACGGAAAAAGAAAAAAAAATGGCGAATTGCAGTCATCTCTTTTCTTTCGTTATTTATTGTTTCAAATAGAAAGTTTAAAAGTAAAGAATAATTAGAGTTTGGCATGGGTCGGTCAAACAGGTTGAATTTCAAGTTTTGGCCCATTTTAATCAAGTCTAATTTATAATCACATGGTTCCCTGATACCCGATACAAATCTCAATCCAAACCAGTTTGACAGGTGAGTCCGTTTTTACCACCATTTTCTAAGGATACAAGAACGGTGGTTCCTATCCCAAATCGTGTTGTTCATTCTTGATTTCTTTAGATTTTATCATGGCTTGGCAAAAAACCAGAAAACACAATGATGAGAAAATGAAAGTTTTATAAAGCAAATTAATCGGCCAACGGCCCGAGTAAAAGCTAGCAACGATTGTGAGATGCTCATTTCCCGAAAACCGGCAAGATAGGCGATTTTTTATTCGATTTTCTGGAATTCGGTTTCTATAAAACTGTCTTTACCTCATCATATTACCAAAAACAATATTGTTTCACAAGGTAACAGGTACTTGATTTTGGGTCATAAGGCTGATTTTTTATTCGTTGTATCATTCATGTCTCTTTCCTACTAAAATTCACTATTTTTAACACGTGTTTCCCAAAAAAAAAAACTATACAACAATAAGCTATACACCCCATTACATTATCAAATTTCATACCTCACCTTCCTCCGGCCAAATGGTCGGGGCCCACGCTAGTACTATTATTATGGCATATTATTTAGCAGATCCGGGAAAGAACGGGTCTCCCTCCCGTTGTATGTGAAAATTGGGGATAATGGAGGAGAAAAAAAAAGAGGATAAGATTTAATTATTTATTTAGGCATATGTTTATCATTCTAATTATAATTTTAGTAAAATTTAAGTTTAACTAAATATGAACATTGCACGAGTTAAGAACTTCCAATTTAGTGGTATTATGAGAAAATTGTAGTCATGCTATGTTAAGGTTGATGAGGTCAGGTGAAATTTTAGGAAAATAAATGAGGTACGGAGTTGAATGAGAGAGTGAACGACAATAGAGATTCATGTGAATGCTCCTTGAATTTGCGAGGAAACCTCTCATCGGATTGTTAAAAATGAACATAGATGCAATAAAACTAACAAATACGGGGTCATATTGTAATATGAGATGGGTTCGATCCTCACAAGATGTTAATGGTGAGCCGATATATTATTTTTTTTGGGCGCTTGACTTTGAGTCCGGTATGTAGATTTGATATGAACACAATTACCTATGCAAATGTAATACCAACCATTGGTTGCCGAACTCAAGAAACAAGAAGAGTTGTTGCAGGAAATTGAGGGAGCCAACGAAGAACCGTGAGAGGGAACGTAACAAGGTGATTTTAGATTTCGAGCCCTCCAGTTTCATGATTCCATAATTAAAGGATTACACGTGGCATAATAAATGAAAAGAGTGAACAAAATGAGCAACAAGCTAACACGAAAATGAATTAAACTTCGGATATAAAAAGGAGAAATATTAACTTCATTTTTTCTAAAATATCACCAAGCATCCTTTTTACTTATACACTCCCAAACCAAACACAACTGATATGTGCACATCGACATTTTAAATTCGGTGAACAGAATTCATCACGCACCATAACAAGCAAACAAACCAATTTTTTTGGATATATAACTGTCACTTGCACAATTCTCATCTTGATACGTCATTGAGTGGGGGAAAAGGTGTGGAATATCCTTACAATAAGAAGTTGTAAAAAAAAAAAAAAATCCTTACAATAAGAAAGATATATCCCTTCCCTCACATTTAGAGCCAAATTCCTGCAACTTAACAAGGGTTTTAGATGCAATCCGATGACTTTAATCAGGAAGCAAATCAGGCTAAATAATGTAGATCGGTGATAGTGATATTTGGATAAGTGTTCAACTTTTGCCTCCTAGCTACCCGATTATGTATGAATGCAGGTGGCCATCTGCTCATAATTTGCTTTAATACGCGTTGCATGATTATCATTATCTGGAATTAGACTTAGGCTATAAGATATTATTAAATATAGTAGTGGTTCCAAAACAAATATAATCATTGGCTTAATCAACTAATTAATCACAAAATTCTCTCTAATACATACGGGTCTCATGCGGATTCTTCAAAAAGCTTATGAATTATAGATAATAATATTAACCTACGATACTTCACTAATTAGGAAGGAGAAACGAAGGGCAAATATAATGTGATGCGATTTCAAACACATATACTAAAAAAATATGCTAGATCACATGAATATACCATTTGGTAACAACCATGGTATTTTCCTATTTTGAGGAATTTATAAAAAAGTAATTTACTGTATATGAAACAATTAAGTACTTGAATAATTTCGAAATAGTTAGCAAATGTTGAGGCTTGTTCAATGTTAATTTTGTTGCTACAATTTATTTATTCTCAACGTTGTTCTAATGGTTGGTGCATGGTTCATGTTTGCCTGATTTGCTGCTGTTATATGCATCACGGGTACATCCAATCTTTGTCACTCGGAATTTTGATATAACGGGACTGTCTTGTTATTAGCGTTATGGTCTTACCTACAAGTTGTAATCACTAAGTACAAGCCAGACCTACACTCGATGATTGTATCTAATCTTTGTGCTCAATGATTGTCTCTAGTTGGTTTCATTTTTTGATGGATTATAATGAATTTTATTTACTTCTTAAATTACGATTCAGATTCCACATAAAGTGACACATATAATTATGCTTTTACGGGGCAGAGTTAGATAAATTTGCCTCCATACATTATTATGTGACTGCATATTAGATGTTTGTATCTAATCTTTGTCTTTTTCAAATATCAAATATGTATGCAAAATGTATTTGAAATAAAAGCGAGCAGGAATTGCCATCTGAGCAAGCACGGTTGTCAGCTGCAGTAATAAATAAATTATGGCAAGTGAAAAAATAAAGAAGGGGAGGTAGAAAAATTCCAAAGTGAAGACGAGTAGCCAAAAACAGGGGAACAAAATATCTTATCGAACTCTTTCAATAAATCAAGCGTACCAAACAGGTGTCAAAAAATAAGTTGTTACCAGTTTCTTTAGCAGTTAAAAAGTAAAAAAATGTGAAGGTTCAAAGAAAGAAACAAGATCGGGAAAAAGAAAGGAGAATTAACCTTTGGGCCAGAAGAAGAAAGGTGAAATGGGGAATTTCTTGAAGTTGGTCAGTACAAGAACCCACCGTCCACACACAGGCCCAGAGATACGACC